TAAAATCACAGGTCTGTGAACTTGCCCCTCTGAACATCTTGACTAAGACCATAAACCCTGGCGAACTTGACACAGAATCAGTATCTAAGATAGACACCTTGATAAACTTCATCACAACAGAGGTTATCAAAAGACTTGATACAAAACTAAGTGTGATTGTCTACAATATACCGGATAATGAGGGGTTGAAAAAGGTTCAAAGCATCTTACTTAGGGCGGCGAAAATGCCTAACTCCCAAACAAAATGTCACAGACTGAAGAAGAGTCAGCACGACCACTGCTGTCCTATACGCCTTCAGTTCGAAACGCAGACAGAGGCTAAGAAATTCACCAACACACAACGTATCCTATTACAGGACACAAGCTACAAACAGATAAAAGTTGTAGCAGATAAGACAGTGATTGAAAGGCGTGCTTACAATCACCTTAATAAACCAAATGGCAGGACACCTAAAGCCACTAAAATAGATATACACACTACCAACACGGTAGAACTCATAGCCTCCCCCCTCTCTAATCCCGTAAAAATAGCTCCAGAGAAAATGAAACCAAACGGAAGACTTGTGAGCTATAGTCTTACTCCTAAAGTAACCTCTCCTCCCTCTACGGTGGATCTAGATATGTCTATGGACAGCCATAAGATGGTAATCAATCCCTCTTGTAAGCTGACAACATCCTCTCTTAACCAAAACGTGACAACGCAAATGGAACTCGGTAACAAAACAGGCCGAAATACGCCACTTGTTGCGAAGATTCCCCAACATATTCAGACTCCCAAGAATATCTCACGCTTTAAGGTAAATAATATTCAAAGCCATGCTAGCAACCAAACTAAAAACAAAAATAAGGACATAGAGTCCAAGGACAGCAACGACACAACCTACTTGCATACTGTGCCAAGTCACACTGGTAGCTGGTGTAGTGACGCTATCACGCAAAGTAGTATAGGTGACAACACTCGAAGCTCAGCCACCAGGTACTCAGGGTCTACAAAGCATGACACACAAACTAACTTTGGCAGATTATACGGAACAAGCCTTCTGGGAAACAAACCACAGTGCAGCTATGCATATAACGACACCCATGTAAGGTCTCTTGGAATGTCTACACACAATAGGCAGATTGACAAGTCATGGGTATCCCAAGGTACCAAAGATTTTTTATCCAACACATCCCTGTCAGCGCTAACCAAACAGCTGGTGGGGATGTTAACCCTTCTGAACCCATACCACCAACGTTGGCCCCCTATCGGGAAGAAAACAGACATGGGCTAGTACATACGGAACTATTAGTCACACCCAAAGACTGTACAAGCATATGCCAAATAAAAACCTCAACCCAACTCTCCAACCTACCCAAGCCTAGAACCACGTCATTGTATAGTTTATCTAATAATCAAACCCATTACCCACTAAAAAAAACGGATAGTAACTTGACAGACATAGGTGGACAAACTAGTTGCAACACAGGGTTGATATGCCACGCGGAAACAGCGGATGCCGATCCACACTTGAACCTTATTGACGAGCTTAAACACTTCAAACACTACTTCAAATCTCAACTCTACTTAATACTTATTAATGCTAGATCTATCCTTAACAAACTACCGATGCTCAGGGCACACACGCTGGTATACAAACCCCCGATAATCATTATTACGGAATCCTGGTGTCACTCCAATATACCAGATGAAGAGATAAGCATCGAAGGGTACATACACTTTCGCTGTGACAGGAAGAGTGGTAAGGGAGGAGGCTGCCTAATGTACTTCCTGAACACACTTACTGTATTACAGCTAGAAAATAAGGAACTCAATGACATGCACGACACCCTGTGGGTCAACGTACACTTCAAAAGTGCTACACTACTAATAGGATGTATCTACAGAGCACCTGGCACCTTTAGTGATTACGAGACACAACTTATAAATGTACTGGAGCAAGTATCCACTCTTCCATACGAGCATAAGATCATATGTGGAGACTTCAACCTACCCGAAATCAACTGGGACTTATTAAAAGGGCCAACTAAATACGACAAGCTCTTAGGGACACTGGACATCTTCGGCTGGAAACAAACTGTCACTATCCCTACAAGAGGTGACAATGTACTAGACTTAATATTCTGTCACGATATAAGCCCCCTCTCAATCTTAGTGGGTTCTAAGTTTTCAGGTAGTGACCACAAAACAGTAATGTGTGCTCTGCCACTTCCACTGAATAGCAATGCAGCTCATACCTCCACTTCACAACAAGTACTATATAGGAACTATAGTAAGGCAAACTGGACCTTAGTAGAATCAGTGCTAAGATCCTCCGAATGGAGCGAATACTTCACTACTGATGACCTCTCGAGAGCTCTGAGCATCTTCTACCATAACTCGAACACATGCTTAGATGCTGTCATTCCACTGCAAACACTTGAGCTGTCCCCACATAGGAAGTCATTCATAAAACCAAAGGATCGTATGAAACTGAAGAAACTGTCAACAAGTTACTTCAAACACCACGACTTTGGCACACTAGGTTTAATACTTAACACCCTTAGTTCCATCTCACAAGCTCGAAATTTCCGTATGAGAAACGAAGAACGCATCGCAGTAGCCAGTCCTGCTAGAGTGTATGCACTCACGGAAATCTTAAAGAAGCGAATGAATCGCAAAAATCACAGCATTTCCCTCCTCATAGACAAAGGTAGGCTATGTACTAATTCCGCAGACATGTGTGAATTATTCAACTCAACTTTTGCAGGTAACTACCTTAAGCCCACAGTCCAGTTACTCAATATTCACCCTGCTACTAATGTGGCACAAACTCCATCTCCACACACACCAAACTTAATTAGCACTATTGAATTTAACTATACTAACATTAAACAAACTATAAGAACCCTAAAATGCTTAAAAGGTTTCGGTACTGACGGCATATCATCCTATTTTTATAAATATGGTGGCCCTGACATTCCCTTACTCCTGCTTAAAATATTCACAATGTCCTTAGAAACCCAAACTTACCCTGATGTATGGAAAACAACGTTTATTATGCCTAAACACAAATCTGGCTCGAAAACAGACGTCAGTAACTACAGGCCAATTAATATCACACCTATAGCTTCTAGAATTATGGAGAGACTAGTTAAAGAAAACCTAATGAAGCATATGCTTAGTTGCAATATTATAAGTCCGAACCAACATGGATTCCTAAAATCCAGATCTTGTTTAACATGCCACTTAGACTTCTTTAACTTTGTGACCAGCAGTCGTGACAGACGACAACTAGTACTTGTCATCTACTTTGACATCTCAAAGGCATTTGACCGTGTCGACCATTTACTACTAGTGCACAAGCTGAAATCCTTAGGAATAAGTGACCCGCTATTAGGATGGCTTAAATCATTCCTTAACAATAGGTCCCAAATAGTTAAACTCGGATCTATAACTTCGAAACCTAGCCCAGTCACCTCTGGTGTAGTACAAGGTAGTGTCATTGGACCCCTTCTATTTACCCTATATATTAACGACATATGCGCTTGCTTTTCTCATGGGAAACCATTCATCTTTGCAGATGACCTCAAAGTAGCTTATACATTCCAATCTGATGACCTAGGGTACTTCCAGAATGTCGTACAAAAAGAACTAGATAAAGTGACTGCTTGGTCGTCTTTATGGAACCTCCAATTTAACCTTAAAAAATGTGGCTGGATCTGCTTCGGTGCACCCTCAGTCGACATAAAGTTAACGCTTCAATCGGCTAACCTAACCAAACTCCAAAGTGTCGTTGACCTAGGTCTGAGGTACTCGAGTAACCTAACATTCTCTGAGCAAGTGGCATCACAGACTCAAAAGTCGAGGATGCTCTTAGGATGCATACTCAGGAACTTTCACGACAATGAAGCAAAGCTCATTCTGTACAAAACCTGTGTGAGGCCATTACTAGAATACTGTCCATTTATTATTAGCAGCACTCACACACGTGAAAAGCTAAGAATTGAAAGTATCCAACGATATTTTACCTCGAAACTACTAGGCTACGAATGTAAGAAAGACTACATTTCACGGTGCATGATTCTACAACTTGACCCACTCTGGACAAGACGACTAATTATAAACCTAGTATTCTTCTATAAGGTCCTACACAAAATATCATTCTCAGACATTAAGGACATACAATTCGCGCAAGAAGGCTCTTACGATCTGCGTAACCAAAATTGCACAGTGACAATAAAAGCCTTTAAGTCAACACTCCGCGAAAACTTCTTCACAGTCATGTATTCTAAAATATGGAACAATCTGCCCCTAGATATCAGGAACTGCAATACAGTTTTAAGTTTCAAACGCTCTCTGTACACACTATTTCACTCTACCGACTATATAAATAAATTATTTATCCCTAGAACGAATCAACTATTAGTCTACTACAGTACCTAAACGCGCTTAAATACCCTTACTTCTCTAAAGACTATAAATAAACTAGTAGCATAAATGCATAAAAAGACATAGTAGAAACAAATTTTTGTTCATCAAACTACAATGTACAACGAATATAATCAAATCTTTTAAACTCCACCTGTTTTTTCTTTGTCCTCTGGTACATTTCTGTTGTATTTACTTTGTAGTACAAGTTGCATTGATCTACATTCCGACTGAAGCTGAGAAACAATTGGAGTCACTTGCTCATATATCATCCCTCAAGGTTTGGCTAGTAATGGCTCAGCATCCTTGATGAAATCCACTGTCACCATAACAAGACGCTGTACAGCATCGGTGACTAAACTTTAGGAACCCAAAATAACCTTGATAATGGATGACCTTGATGAATGACTCCATAATGGATAAGAATTTATTTTTAAATCACACAGTGTAGTACAGTTATATTAACTGATGACGTTTCGAGCACAAACTATTGCTCATAATCATATCAAGTTACTCACACAACTTCTTTATTTCATTTATATACATGTGTGGAATCGACTAGATATTGGAATAAAATTCAATATGAGATTCAGATTTTTCAGATTTCAGATTTATTGTTTGAGGATAGAAGGCTTGGAGCCTATGTTAATCCTTTTCTAGTAAAATTCTGTGGTTGTCCAAACCCTTCTTGAACGAATCAACTGAGGTTGCAGACACCACTTCTTCTGGGAGTCGGTTCCAAGAGTTTATGACTCTGTGTGAGAACCAGTACTCAACAGCAATATTATTTCTTCTTGGCTTTTGAACTCTCCTGCTATGTCCTCTAAGGTGTTCCGACCTGGTGGGAAGGAAAAGAGAAAATAGGTCAGGTCCGTAGTCATTATTTAAAATTTTAAACATTGTGATTAAATCTCCTCTCTGCCTACGGTATGACAAGGAGAAGAGATTTAAACTGTCTAGTCTTTCCTCGTATGATAAGTTAGTCATGCCATGAATCATACGTGTTGCTTTCCTTTGAACCCTTTCTAGAATAAGTGAGTCCCCTTTTAGACAAGGGCTGGCGGCCTGGATGCAGTTTTCCAGTCTTGACCTCACCAGGGATGTATATAAGGAGGTGAACATATCTCTGGTGATTCTAGTGAAGGCTCTACGAATTGCCCATAATGACCTGAAACTACGTGCAGCCACCGCGCGACAGTGTGCTGTAGTTTTTAAGTCGTGGCTAACTATGACACCTAAGTCCAAGTAAGTCTGAACTGATGGAAGTGTAATTCCCTCTAGTTCATAAGAGCTCGTGCTTGCTTGTCCAATGCGCATGGTTGCACATTTTGTCACGTTTATCGGGAGCATCCATTCTATGGACCACTCTGACAATTTGTTGAGGTCCTCTTGCAACGTGGACGTGTCACTGTTGCCCTTCAGCTCTCTCCAAATTTTTAAGTCATCTGCGTATAGGACCATAGGGGAATCGGTGAGCAGAGATAACTCATTGATATACAAAATAAATAGGAGAGGTCCAAGTACCGTGCCTTGTGGCACTCCGCTGCGTACTGCTGTCCAAGAGGAGAGTTTCGAGTTGATCCTAACCCTCTGCCTCCTATCTATGAGGAATTCCCTGAGCCAGTTTAGTAAGCTGCCTTTGATACCAAGACTTTCTAACTTCATGAGTAGTCTTTTGTGAGGTACTTTATCAAAGGCTTTGCTGAAGTCTATGAAGACGACGTCAACGGGTCTTCTGTTGTCCCTGGATTTAACCCAGCTTTCTCTTGCAGTGAGAAGATTTGACAGGCATGAGAGGTTCCTTCGGAAGCCATGCTGTGCTCTTGATAATAAGCTTCTATTTTCTAGATATGCCATTATGCTTTTCTTGATGATTCTCTCCAGTGTCTTTATTAAAGTGCTGGTGAGACTGATAGGCCTGTAATTTGAAGGGCTTTGCCTTGATCCTCCTTTGTGGATGGGGGTTACTATGGCGTCTTTCCAGTCACGCGGTAACACTCCATTTTGGAGAGAAAGCTTGAAGATCGTAGTCAAAGGGCCGGCTATGTGTGCTGATAACTCCTTGAGAAGCCTTGGGTGAAGATTATCAGGACCCATTGATTTCCCTGCATCTAGTTTCCTTAGGCAGTTGAGCACGATGCCTTGGTCGATGTCAACGGAATCTATCCCATGTTCTTCTGATGCAGCCAGAGCTGATCCGGTAGGCAGTGACGACTCCTGAGTGAAGACTTGGGAGAAGTAGTTTGCCATTGCTTCTGCTTTTTCTTGATCTTCTTCGATTGTATCATTGTCAATAGTCAGGTTTGGGACACCATTGGGTGTTTTATTCCTGAAGTTCATGTATGAGAAAATTTTCTTAGGTTGTGCCTTTGCATTTTGAGCCAGGTGTGCTTCGAATTTCATCCTTGATTTGCGGATTTCTGCAATAGCTTTATTTCTAGCAGTGTTATATAATTGCCTGGTCTCAGAAGTCTCAAGTGTGGCAAACAAGTTCCAACATTTGTGTTTACGTCTAAGTAACTTACGAATCTCTCGGTTTATCCAAGGAGGGCAGTGTTTCCGACCCTTTGGGACAGACCAAGGGATGAAAGGTTCAGTTACTTGGGCGTAAAGTTGTTTAAATTGGTTCCATGCGGCTTCTACTTGAGACTCTGGGTTGATGTACCAGTTTACTGAGTTGGCTGCTGAGACGATTGCATTTATATCAGCTTTCCAAACGTTTGGTCGAGATGGGGTTTTGGCCCTTGCTGCCGTTGCTGTGAACTTGAAAGTGAGCACAGCATGGTCACTTCTTCCTAAAGGAGGAAGATGTTGTATGAGATCTACATCCTCACCATGGGAGAACACTAGGTCCAGAGTTGAGGAGGAGTGCTGTGAGTCATAGCGCGTGGGCTTGATGATATGTTGGACTAGAGCTAACGATATACTAGATTCCAGCAGTTTATAATCAAAGGAGTTGACTGAGGATGGAGTTGTTAGGCTCGTCCAGTCAACTGTTGGGGCATTGAAGTCGCCAACTACGAGACTTCGACATTTCGAGGTCCAGGAGCCTAGCTTCTCTATCAGGAAGTCATCTGCACTGCAGTTAGGACTGCGGTACATAGCAATGAGGTCAATGTCTTGGCCTATGCATTTAAGTCTGCAGCGTAGAAGTTCGCACGACTCACTTTCGTGAGCGAGTGCTTCGATACTACGCACGGTTAAGCATTTCTTGAGGTAAATGACTACGCCACCTCCTTTGCGGTTTAGTCGGTCTACCCTATGCACTTCGAAGTTTGGCAGGTTAACTTCGCTGTCAGTGACATCGGGTGTGAGCCATGTCTCTGTGATAATAATTACATCCGGGTTTCCGGAGTCTATCATGTTAACCAGCTCAGTCCGTTTATTTAACAGGCTGCGGGCGTTTGTGTAGCAAACTGTTAATCCAGTTTGGTGCTTCCCCGGCCTACCCACAGAGGTTTCGGGATCATTAAACTGCGAACTTGAACAACCCGAAAACCCTTAATCTTAAGGTTCTTTTCGCCGTTTCGGCGTCGTTCGCTTAATTCTAGGGCCGCAGACTGTCTTTTGATACGGTCTGCCAGGCTTAAGTCGGCGCGGACATATATGCCTGATCCTTTAAGTATATGAGAGTTGCTTAGAATAGCATCCCTCTCTTCTTTAGAGTTTAGTACGACTTTGAGGAGACGTACAGGCTGACTTACTGTAGGGTCAGGCTTTTGGCCTATTCTATATACACTGTGTATAGTGACGCCTGATACTGTTTGTGGCAGTAGCTTGTCTAAAAGGGGCTTAACCAAGTTAAGGTCATGCTCAAATCTAGTCTTGGGTTCGGGGGCCAATGACTCTTCCACTTTGTGGAGAATGAGCGACCTGTCAGAGAGATCAGGTTTGCTTGCCGTGGTTTTCTTGCTCTGCGGCGTGAATGTCTTCCTGTCCTTCGTGGGCAGTGTGGCCAATGTATTGTCCTTATCTCGCTTTTTGCGAGAGACTACGTTACGCCATTCATTGGCGTTCTCTTCACTAGTCGTAGCAGGATTTATCTGCCTGCTACTCACCGGTGTGGACGAGGCTTGATCCACTAGTACCTGGGTGACTTGAGTTGCGGGTTTACGACCCCTGGTACGCCTCTTCTTTGTGGCAGTCTTTCTGTTACTGTCACTGGAGGGCTTATCCAGTATCGTGGGGGCAGCCTGGGTGACTGGAATGTGGTGAGTGCTCTTCTGTGCTGAAGGGCACTCAGTCATTGACAAAGACTCATTAGGAACATGTACTGTTCTGTCGATGACGCTAGTCACATCTTCGGTGTCTGAGAAGCAGTTAGTCTTCTCCTGTGATGGAAGACCCTTGCAGTCCATGAGCTTTAAAGCCCCGCTAAGAGTGGCAATGGCTTCTGTAATACGGAGTTTGGTAGTACTACAACAGTCATTGCACAACCAGTTTTCTAGAGGTTTACAGCAGCGTTTGTATGCTGCAGGAGTTAGGTTTGTGCACATACTGTGAAACCATCTCTTGCAGTTATCACACTGCATTCCCTCATCCACTGGGAATTGGCACATAACCCTTCCACAGCGGTTTTTTTTTATGGGCATACTGTCTAGAACAGACTGGCGAAGAAATTTAAATATAACTTAGATGTATATAGACCTTTATAAGTCAGCGATAAAAATCGATGAGTGCACAAAAATATATATATACTATTATGTTATAAAAAACAATTTCCTATAATTTAAATAGACTCAGATCTGAAAAGTAAACTAACTTTGATCAGAATAAACTGATTTAAAGTTAATCTGTAGACTTTTGGAGCGTATAACACAACAAAAGCCAAAACTAAACAAGAGCGTGTAAAATTCACTCCCTTTTCAAAGTTCGCGCGGAGTTTAATGTACATTTAATGTACATTCAGAAATAATAGTACGAATGTTATTAATCCATTGCAATTAGATGGGAAATACAACGAGTGTTTTTACAGTCATAATAAGTTGATTGATAGAATGTTTTTGATGTGTTTGAATGGAAATAGAATACAATTTAAGATTATTTATTATCCGCTTCTGATTTGACTGGTGGCAATAATACGAGTGTTATTAATCCATTGCAATTAGATGGGAATTACGACGAGTGTTTTTATAGTCATAATAAGTTGATTGTTAGAATGTTATGATGTGCTTGAATGGAAATAGAATTTTAAGACTATTTATCTTCTTCTGATTTGACTGGTGGTAATAATATCTTCCATATTTCTGGTATTTGCATTGAGTCACTTCTGTTGCATGTGTTGGGTGTAGACTCGATGAATAAGGATTCCGTAATCAACCTCTCTTTCCACCTACCTATATTACTTTTTAGAATTTTAACCCTTGACCTTGAGCAGGCAATAATCTGACTCGCAATGAGGAGGAGGGGTTCCTAAAGTTTAGAGTCACCCATACATTAAATGGGCCTATAATTTCTGAAGCTCTCACATGGGGATTGGCACTGGCATCGCTTGCAAACTCTCAAAGTGTGTCATCGAGTACTTTTCCACAGCAGGTCAGTTTGCTTGCTAGCCTCACTTCTGTAGGTAGTATGTTCCATATATGAGCACATCAAATCAATTTGAACTTTGGCCTTTGGCTGGCTTACATTGCTCTATAGCCGCTGGGCCTCTGGTGTGTCTATGTTTATATCCATTGTCGTCTGGTAACCGAGATCCATTGGTAGGGATATACACATTGGTAGCTATAACTTAGTAAAAGCATCACTTTTATTATTTTACTTCAATATGACAAATATTGTTTATATATGAGAGTTTACAAGTAAAGTAAATGAACTTGCCGAAAAGTGCCGGATAGCTGGATTACGTATTTTGCTCCATATTAGCTGTGGATCACCCAGATTCAAATCTCAAGAGGGAAATAAGCTTCCTCTAGATTTTAGGTACCATGGGTCTGGGAGAACTTATTGACGATTGCTTCCAACCATCTAATAACAACAACAGTTCAAAGTGCAACTTGGTGATGAGCCATCTAGGCTGGCAGAACAATAATCTTGGTATTTCATTATATTTGAAAAGCGAAAAATACCTGACTGGCACGATTCGTATCTATTCAATTTACTAATGAGTGCTATTTTAAAATTCCAGGTCGCGATTGTATGCTGACAAAGAGAAGAAGGAAATCAAAGGGAAAATCAGGTTTGTACACAATCTAATTGAAATAACGTCATCACTTCCTTGTGGACTTTTGCTTCGCAAAACTATAATTTCACTCACTAGACAGGAGATGCAACTGAGTACACTGTATTTCTAAATAGCGAGCCAATGGAGAAGAATTTACCACATCACATTCATTTTTTACATGAGGGACGCCAGTTTACAGGCATCATCAATATGATAAATTACATATACGATTAGGAAGCATATTTAATAATAGTAATTTAATAAAATACATTTTTTCCTACTTGTGTAGGACACACCAATTGTACAGGCATGGATAAGTATTATTTAAATTACATAAATTTGGTTCATGGTAAAATTATGAGGTTGCAGTCATTTTGTCTATGGGAACAATATGATAACTAGTCATTCAATGGAGCACATCAAGAAATATAGAAATATTGTCTTCGCATTAACAAAAAAAACCCAAGTATGTTTTGGATGGATTACAAATACTTGGGAAAAAAATAAAGCTTGAAGTAATTCCTCCATATAACTTTGGTGTGTACGGCATCGAGTCTTATTCTTGATTTATATCCAAATTTGATAATAATTTAAAATAAGTAATACACTTGTATACTTTTGTCAGCATTTTCTTCGTAACATCACAAGTGAATAGTACTCAATGTAGACTAATAATAATGACAGTTTATATTTTCTTATAAACGGGTGTTTTCAAGAGATGCAAGCTATTTTTGCAGACAAGATCAGTTATGTTGTAAGTTACAATCATGAAGTATTATAAATCAATACTTTTTTATTGGTATAAAGGTATATTTCACAACTGTAATCCAGGTTGCGTAATGCGTAATTCACGAGGGAATTGTAAGATATGGGACCAATAATGTTTGCAGATCATTTGTCATTGTAAATGGTCAAATATCCACATTCTTCATTCTCTTTCAAAAAGTTAAATGGAAGCTGAAATGGTGAGAGACAAAAGAAGACAAACAACAACAACGCAAAAGAAAGCAAGTGGAGTACTTAGGGAGTGATTAATATGTATATATACATTTATATTCTGTTTAGTAATTATAGTTATTTTGGTGCACTAACTAACTATTCCCGTAATGCTAACTTTTATATTGTGTGAACTAATATTATTGTCCTGTGTAAAAATGTCTATCATGTACTTCCAATAATATAAAAATTTATAATTGTAGTTTGTTGTAACTACACGTTTAATGAACTTAAAATATCTATGTTGGGCGAAAAAGTGGGTGTAGGATTCAGACGCAGAAGTGCATTGTCATCTTTGAGCAGTCTGGTGACTGAGGAGATGAACACTGCGAGTGTGCTTGCATCGCGCACATCAGCTGGTAGTCTATTCCAAATGACTGAAAACTTATTTAAGAAGAAATTATACTGCATGTAAGTCTGACAATGCTCTATAGCAGCTAGGTTGTGATGATTTCTAAGATTGTAACTGATGACAGCGGTAGGTTTAATTATTGGCTCGGAGGAGTGCACGAGCAGACTAGTTAGCTTGTAGTAAAAAATCAGGTTTAGCTTAAGACGTCTTTTCCAGAGTGGTTCTAAACTTAGTCTGTCGCAACGTTCATAGCATTGGAGACCACTTTCTAAACCAAGAATTCTTAAGGTTAATTGCCGTTGCACTCCTTCTAACGTAAGCTTGTCATTTTGTCTGAGTCCGCTAAGAATAAACGGGCAGTATTCTAAAATAGGTCGGACACATACTTTATATAATAAAACCCTAGTTTCACAACAAAAGAAATTGCGAGTTATGCATCCTAGGAGCCTTCGTGTTTTACGTCTGGCATAATCAGTTTGTTCAGAGAACGTTAAGTTACTAGAGTATCTGATACCGAGATCTACGACTGAGTTGAGCTTGGCTAGTTTACGCCCATTTATTTCAAGATTCAGGTCAAGGTTACTGTTTCCGATACAAATCCAGCCGCATTTATCAATGTTGAACTTTAGACAGGATTCAGTACACCATGTTGCGAGACCACTTAGTTCAAGATGTATTTTATTCACCATATCGCTTAGTTCATGAGCGTAGCAGGAGTAAACGACTTTGAGGTCGTCAGCATATAGGAACG